CCAGTTGTTTTTAAGAAATGTGCTGAACCTCCATTCTCCCATCAGCAGACTACTGGTGATCCATTTTAGTCCCAGTTTAGCCTGAGGTAGTTCATCCCTCAGGACAGATATATCAGCTCCGGTGTCACACAAAAATTTCACTTTTACCCCTTCAATGTTTAAATGCCAGTATGGTTTTTCTGATGTGTTTAAAAAAGAAAAGAAAATTTGCTGTAGGTCCAGGACCTCCACTGGGTCCACAATTAACTGCTCTACACTTTTTGCTGGCGCACACGACTCCTGGCGTCAGTGCTGGTCATAATATTGGCAACGGGGAGGGTCACTCTGTGGGGGTTCTGGACATTCTCGAGCAAAGTGGCCCTCCTTATCACAATTGTGATAGCTTGCACAATCCACTTTTTTTTTAACTCCTCTAATTCTTTTCAGTATATAGCTTGCTTATTTCCTGATTTACACACCAACTTCATCTCCACCTTCTGCTGAATATTCGTCAGTGGCTCAACTCTTAACTGTCCATTCCAATCTTCCTTCTTAATCCTCTTTCTGGCAAACTCTGGATCACCACCACAACACGTCACCATCCATCTAACATCACCTGGCACTTCCTTCTTACTACTTCCTTGCCCCATGCTTTTAACAATTGTTTTAAAGTGTTATTACTGCAGATTTTTTTTTATTTTATTTTTATGTGTACACTTTGGAGTCCCAGACTCCGATACGTACACCGACACAGGGTTTTTCTCTATGGGCTTGACTTAGGCGCCGATGCACGTGTGTTGCTGGAGCCATCACTACTAGAAGGATTAAGGTTATGAATTTGACATTAAAGGGTAATGCCAGTTTTTTTACATTGGGCCCTTGATTTTACGTTATTACATTATGTTCTACTCACCCATCTGAGTCTTGTGTCATTTGAAACTGTTCTGAAGATAGATACAGGAGGTGAAGTCTTTTTCTGTTAAAATGGAATATAGAGGAAAAGATGTTCAATAAAGAATGCGCTGAAGAGGTTATCACATGGCTTTTAAAAAGCTGTTTTTATTTAGCCCTAAAAGGACAGTTTGTTATCCTCCCTTACCTCCAGCACAGGCCCCGTTGGTGCTGTCTGTGTCGGTAGATCTATAAGGAAGTACCACCTAATGGATGAACCAAAGTGATAAACTTTTTTTCTCTATTTTACTTTCAAACCTGCTATTCCTACCACCTCTGTATAAGTATTGACAGGATTTGTAACAAAAAAAGTGAACGCAACAAAGTTTTTGCACCAGATGCCCTTCTTGACATAATGGGGATTTTATCCTGAATCCTCTTGATTAAAGTCAAAGGCTTAAACCCCTACACACGCAGACAAAAAAGAAACATGAATCCATCACTTCTCATGTCTTACATTTCAGCTTCCACCGTTAATGTTTAGGTTCATATTTAATTTGATAAAAAGGAGAAGTGATTGCGTGTTCAGACCAGAGGCATTAGCAGCTGGGACAGTGGTGGATTCACATAGAGCTCCTATTTAAACCGTGCAGTGAAGAGCGATAAAGTGGCCAGGGGTAAACTCCATGCGGTGAGGGTGTTCAGCAGCAGTCCGTGATGTTAAGTTTTTCCTGCCCTTTTATTGTGAAATAACTACAATGAGTCCTTGACTGGAAATTACATTCAGTTGCCATGGGTAGCGGTAGGTCCTAAGCAGAGGGTTTGGGATACTGATGATTTATAACTTATTAAACAGCCTTTCCAGCCACTTAATGAGGTAAATATGCCTACTTTTATATTCAATGCCAGCACAGGAATGACATGCGATGTTATGCAATAACTCTATATCAGGAAACGAGCGCAGTATTAATGTCTGCTGAGATGGCGACGTCATCAGCCATAATTTAAAATAATGCTATCTTAAAAACCAAATCAGCACAAACGGAAATCGTTGCGGTCTGAACGCACCTTAAGAGTCTTTATCAGTGTTTATCATTGTTTACAGGACAAACAGAAGTCTGGAGTCATGGCTTCTGCATCAGAATCACAGTCTGCCTCGGATTATCTGACGGAAGCCAGAGATTTCCTTGTTGGGAAATTAAGGAATCACTCAGTAATTCTAGAGAACTTGCTTCAACAAAAATTTCTCCATGATGAAGAGGTCAGCGAGNAGCGTCACTTACAGGCCTGGCATACATTTTGCAGCGTTTTCATGCATTCGTGTGGACGCTCACATTTATTTTACGTCTCCGTCTTTACGGCAAACGTTTTGGAAAATATCAGCGTTTCGTGTTCGTTTTGACTTCGTGTGGACGGGGCCTAAGGTTCAGATTCTATGGCTACCTCAGATGCTGCCTCACCTTCCAGAGATAAACCACTTATGGAGCCCAGGATGGAACATCAACGTTGACCACACTCACACAAAACTTAGTTTCAAAAACTGTATTGTTATCATCAACATGAACAAGATGATGACAATAAAACAACAATATGACAACAGTATGACAAAAAAATAAATAATAAAGTGCGCGCAATAAAAAAAATCCCCGCGGTCTGAAAGCACCTTAAGAGTCTTTATCAGTGCTTATCATTGTTTACAGGACAAACAGATGTTTGGAGTCATGGCTTCTGCATCAGAGTCACAGTCTGCCTTGGATTATCTGAAGAAAGCCAGAGATTGCCTTGTTGGGGAATTAAGGAATCACTCAGTAATTCTAGAGAACTTGCTTCAACAAAGATTTATACTTGATGAAGAGGTCAGCGAGATAGAGGCAGAGAAAAAACCCTATGAGAAAGACAGAAAGATACTGGACTCAGTCATTAGAAGAGGTGAACGAACCTGCTACTACTTACTGTGGATTATTTACATGACGAGGAAGAGGACCAAAAAGAAACCAGCTTCTCTCTTGAAGAACCATGATGGAGCTGAGGCTAAAAAGTTTGACCTGGATCACTGGATCAGCTGCTTTCCTTTCAAAGAAGATGCAGAAATGGATACAAACTTCTTGCAAGGTATAAAACTAACATCTATTTTACTGACAATTACTTTTTCTTTTTTTTTTTAGTTTAGTGCATGTGTTTAATATTATTGCTGCATTATGTCATATGATTTTTTTTCAATTTGTAATTGAGGTACTAGGAAGTAAATTTCATTTTGTTATTTTGATCTTAGGATCCAGTTCTTGCTACAAATATCAAGAAAAGTTAAAGGCAAAAGCAAAAGAAAAATCTAAACATTTTTGGGAAGGAGGTAAAAGGCTTTTTGAAGAAGATAAAAAGCCTGAGCTATCATTTATTCCACTGGTGCTAGATACAGAAGACTCAGCTCCCCCGTCCAAAATAACGACATCTAAAAACATGAAGAGCAAATTAAGTCGTCCTGAAAAGTTATGGACTTACATTCCCAGGGATAAACCAAAGATCTCCCCCAGTGACCTGCTGGAAACTGATGAAAGCTTCCTCTTGGTTGGCAAACCTGGAATTGGAAAGACGGCTCTGTGCCATGAAATACTAAGACTGTGGTCAGAGAAAGATGACAAGAGGCTGGATTACATGTTTTACTTTGATATGAGGGAAAACAACGTCCCACTAATCAGATCAGAGGATCTTCTTCAGTACAGTGAACCAGATGAGGGCAAAGATGAGATCTTACAGGATATGAAGAGCTACTCGAATCTTGTCACAGTCATTTTAGATGGAGTCACTGATATTTCTTCTGTGGTGAAAAAACTGGTAGAAAAAGATCTGCTGTCTGATGCAAAAATCATCATCACCTGCAGACCAGATGATGAGGAAGATCTCTGTCTAGAAGACTGGCTCAGGGTGGAGGTGAAAGGCTTCAGTGAAGGAGCAATAAAAACATATCTGTCTAAAGCACTGGGTGACGATCATCAGGAGGTTCTGAGTAACGTGGAGCTGGTCACTCTTTCTTATGTTCCAATGTATGCTCTGATGGTGGCCGCCACCGTTTCATCAGGTGACTCACAGCAGCCCAGAACTGTCACTGAAATATACATCAATATTGTTCGGTTTACACTCAAGATTAACGGCAACATAAAGTGGAAGGATCTCAATAAGTTCATCAGAACCAAGAGAGATGAAATCATGTCTCTGGCTGAAGCTGCTTTTTATGCAACTCTAAAAAACAATGTGAACCTGAAAGAACTTTCCTGTGAGGACAGCTGTGTCCTTTCCTTCCTGAACTCACTTGATGAAAAAGTCGCTCCTACTGAAACCATAACTGTCCACACTTTCCTCCATTACATCATGCAGGAGTTCTTTGCTGCTTTGTGGCCTTTAAAGGATCCAGAGAAGATCAGGAAGGTTTTTCAGAAGAGCCTCACTGATGAGATGAAACACATGAAACATGTGATCCCTTTCATGTGTCGCTTGTTGAATGAAACAAATCCACGTTTGATGAGCTGTCTGATTCCAGATTTGGAGCTGATGGAAACATCTGATTGGTTCCTCAAAGAGATGATCGACACGTTTTGCAGCGAGCCCAAAGTTGACAGACTGTTCCAGTACCGATGTCTGTATGAGTCCCAGAGCGTTGGAGCCTGC